CAAAGTTTGAAGAACCTGAAGAGAAACATCTCATAGGGGAGTTTGATAAAGAGAAGTTTGAAGGATTTTTCATCTCTTTTCTCGGGCCACTGACATTATACTTACACGATTAGCCCCTGACTTTACTTTATTGTGCAATTCAGTTTTATGAATTTTATACATCTTGTGTGAATTATTTAGAAGGGGATGATAAGAAACAAAGTGGCTTTTACTGAATTTAAAGTTTTATGGTTAACTTGAAACAACTTATATGTGGTCATTTTTTGAAAAAAAAAAAATCATAGTGTGAGTAGTTAATCATAAACAAAATGAATTCTTTTGTTAAACTAAAAACAATCCAAACGACATTAACTTTTATGAAATATGGCATTTAGTCTATTATATAGGATATGCTGCAAACTGAAAGGGGCATGAGCTCAAATTCCAAGATTAAATCAATAAAGGAAAAAAAGAGTACTTAAAATCAAGAGTTAACCAACTTTATAACAATCAGTCAAACAATCCAAGTATAGGAGAAAGAGGGTAAATTGGCAATTTGGTGAACTTTTGCCTGGTTATGCTGGAATGTAATGGTCCAGGGGGTATTTCAGTCTTTTATTTATTTATATATTTTCGTCTGCAGCCAATTTTTGGCCTCGACATGTCTGTTATCATTTTGGCCAGGGGTAGAATGGTCTTTTCTAGTATTTCAGTCTTTTATTTATTTATCTATTTTCCTATATGTGGGTTTGCAGCCAAAACTGTCAAAATTATTTCTAATATAAAATATGTGTAGAGTATGTTTAACTTTATAAATTAAAAAGGAAGCCAAAAGGTCAAAATGACAGATTTGGTGAAAAAGACCAAAACTGTCAAAATTGACCAAAATGCTCAAATGACTAGAAATTCTAGTTTGAGAGAATTCAACCAAATTTTTTTACATATGAGAAGTTTGTGAAGAAGTTCATAAATTGAAAAGGAGACCCAAATGGTCAACTTGACAGATTTGATTAAAAAAAAAAGGGGGGGGGGGGGGGGGGGGAATGTCAAAATTAACCAAAATGGTCAAATGACCAATTCTGGGAGTATAAAACTACATTATAAATATATACAATTTGTAACTTAGACAGAGATGCTTCATGAAGCTGATATTTTATGAGGGGCTTGTTTTACTTAAAAAAAGGGCAAAAATGTCAAAAAAGATAAATACTTTTTTTTGCTTCATGAGGGGCTTGTTTTACTTAATTGGCAACCAAATCTTTAGAGGAACTTCAGCTGGAGAATCATCAAGGTGCAGAAGACTCAACATTGTATCAATAACAAAATTCAAGGCTAAAGAATAAGAAACTAAGGTATTATCATAAATGAAAACACATTTGGTTGACAAAATGGATGGAATTGGATCCCATCAGATTCCCCCAAAATGGATAGTGATGCTTGGAAACTCATACTCATAGAAATATCTCAGGCTCTTGTTTTAAATGGATTTAGAGGAAGGTTGAGTCTCAAAATTGAGGGTGAAGATTTTGAGACTTTGGTGACTAAATCAACTCACCAAGACACTGCAACAAGGATGACTACTACTGTACACATATCTTACAACACAAGCAGATACACAAGGTTGACTGCTAAGAAATATTCCCAACTTATGAAGAGGGAAGCAAGTGAGCTTGTAATAATTAATTTGTTGATGGATGAAGTGAAGGATTTGGGTGACGCTATAGAAAAAACCCTATGTTATATTATGATGGAGCCTTAAGGAATGATAAAGTTGTTGATGAAACTGGAAGTAGAGAAAAGAAGGTCAACAAACGGAAGGTGAAATCAGTTGAAAGAAATGAGCAACTTGAGGCTATGGATGTAGAGCTTGACATGAATGAAATGGATAAATCTGGCCAAGTAAACAAGACTAACCTCGTTAGATTGCTTAGAGATGATGTTGGATAGTTGAAAGAACTTGAGGGGAAGACTCTTGTTTTAAGCACCAAAGAAGAACCAAAGTTTGAAGAATCTGAAGAGAAACATCTCACAGGGGAGTTTGATAAAGAGAATTTTGAGGGATTTTTCATCTCTTTTCTTAGGCCACTGACATTATACATACACGGTTAGCCAATCCTTTCTTCACCTTAAGGACAAGGTGAAAGTTTGGGATAAAAAGCAGAGCAAATGTTCGCAAGATGAAAGAAGGGGATAAAAACATTACATATAACTTGAGAAGCTTGAGATTTTACCTTGTGTTCAACTTGAGAAGCTTCAGTAGGTGAGAAACCCTTGAATGTGTTCAACTTAGCATGAGATTCATGGCTACCAGGCGCTTCTTCCCTTTGTGTCGACTTTCTTCTGCTCTTTCTCTTCTGTTACAGGGTTCTCTGGCCAATCGGGAAGTTCACTTGGCCTAAATTGTTTCAACAGGAACACCTTAATTGGACCTAAGGCACGTAAATTTGAGCAGTCTCCAATGATGTCAGTTGAGCCCACGGTCGTCGGCGAGGCGAAATCAGCCAGAGGAGAAGTAACCTAACGTAGGAGGAGGAGACGTTGTCTGCAAGGGGAGGCGAGTCGAGGTCTCAGAGTCGATCGATCGAAGAGAGTGAAGTGACTGATGATTAGTGAGTGCTAGATATTTTATTAGTAACCTCGATTATTGTTCCAAGATGCACTCCTTTCATTAAAATTATAATGCGACATTTATTGAGACGGCGCACATTTTATGTTAAGTGCCCTCCGTGTTTTTAAGCTTTTTACACTAGACACTAATTTTAAGGGCACTCAATAATGTGCGACATAAATACTTAAATTTTTTGAAGAGATGACACTTTTTTAATGTCACTCTCTCTTACGTAACATAAATCAATGAGCGTCGTGTTTTGCGCGTCGTAAAAGGGTCTTTTTCTTGTAGTGCCACAAGCCTTCCTACCCTTGGAAATTGTTTTTGTGCACTTAGTACCATGAGTGTACGGCTGTACACTCCTTGGCCGTACACCCATGGCCGCACACTCTTCGTATTGGTCGTACACTCCCCTTAGTTGAATCACATGTGACTCCAACACTTGGTCAAAGTGTTTCCTAGTCCCGTGAGGTGTTTCCTTGCATTTGGTTGCTTCTAAACACTATATTTATGTCAATATATGTCATTATATGTCATTTAGGACTGTTAAGTCACGGGACTTCGTTTGTGGAACATCTCATCCTTACGCGCATATTCGTTTGAATCACCCACATAAGGTGAGTTCATACCCCGTAATGAATCTTTTATACTATTTTAAATGCTTTTAAGGGGGGAAAACAAGTTGAACACAATGATAATTGTGTAAATGTTTGTTATAAACATCTTTCAAAAGATTTCTTATGTCAATTATAAGTGATCAAAACATTTCAAAAACTCTTTTAAAGTTATGTTACTTTATAGTTTCACAAAACTCCGTTTTTAAAGTACAAGCATAACTTCATAGTAAAATGAGTCTTTTCAATAACAGTTCAAGTAAAACACTAGTAAACTATAAGGGGTATAGTTTAGGGGTTCAGTTCATACTAAATACTAAGACATACTATAAAGAGAAACAGGGAGGTAGATACAATACATGATAACATAAGAGAACACACAATAAAGAGAAACAGGGAGGAAGATACAATACACGATAACAGAAAGAACATACTAAGATACTATAACAGAACGAACACACTAAGATGCTATAGCATGGAACAACTACATGATCTAATTATACCAATAAATCACTAACTCATTGTTCTAAACAAAAGGTGATAGTTAAATTGGGTATACATGGTCACATAACTTTAATGTGAAGTTATGACCTTAATTAAACAAATATGTTTTAAGGTAATCAGTACGTCGGGATGTTAATTCAAAAGACAACTGAGTACTTTCATTTTCCCATTACTTTCATAAAGTGATAGTTCCACTTGAAAGTTAATGCAAGCTATTTTCGAGTTAAAATAGTTATAAACTAGGGAAAACTTACATCTTTTCAAAACGACAAACAGAATAGTCCGGTCTAGTACATTCAGTAGAAAGGGACCATAATGTTAACCTTATGATTTCTTAATGTATACATCAAGGGATATATATATATATATATATATATATATATATATATATATATATATATATATATATATTAATAGGATCCGACAGGTAATAGGATGTGTGTTTTCCGCTTCATTTACTATTCCTTGTTTGGTTGTGGGCTTAGAGCGGATTCACCCAACTTATTATCCATTCGATCTTAGTATGTATATATATATATATATATATATATATATATATATATATATATATATATGTATATATATATATATATATGTTCCGTATAGATTAAGTCATCATAAGGGGTACCAGGTATGGGTCAGGTCATAGGACACTAATTCAACCACATTTTTCTAGTACAAAACATATTTTTCAAATACAACATTTGGTATACAAAACTAGAAACTTACCAGTAAAGGGTTTAATCCATTTTATTAAACCAATATAACTTAAAGGACCTTAGGTGATTAATTCTATAATACCTTAGTTTATACATCAGGGTTATATGTAATTAATACCCGATAGATAGTTAGATGTGTGTCTTCCGCCTCATTTCATGTTCCTTGTTTGGTTGTGGGCTTAGGGCAGATTCATACAATTAACTATATATTCGATATTAGATTATATATAGCTAGTATAACCTAAGAGATTATAGGAGGAACCACTATGGTTACCATTTTTACTAAAAGAAATAAGAGTTTTCTTAAAGGATCTTTTCATCAAATATAAAGGAACTATTGCAATTAACTCCGTGAGTACCAAGTAAATACACCAGGGTTATATACAACGATGATCTAACAACCAATAGGATGTGTGTCATCCGCCTCATTCTCTGTTCCTTGTTTGGTTGTGGGCTTAGGACAGATACACACAATCGATTGTTTGTTTACTCTGGGTTTTATATAACTTGTATCCATTTAGTACGCATAGAAAGGATTCTAGAGTCATTTTTACTTATCTTTCATCAAAGCAGGAAATATAGGATTTTCTAGAGGAACAAGCGAACTTTTCTAAACAAAACTTACAACTTACTAAGCTTTCTACAACTCACATCACTAAAATCTTATGAACTCACCAGCTTAATTGTTGATCAACTCTTTCAAAATAACTTGTATTCTCAAGAAACTAGTAGACAAGTACTCGCGTTGGGAATTCAAAAGATGGAGCAGTATAGCTTCATATCTTATTTTGCTATTTGCATATGCATTCTATGTTTTGTTTACACACACTTTGTAAACACTTTCTTTCTAATAAAATGCTTGTTTATTACTTTGATTACTATGATGCATGTATTGTGATACTAAACATAACGTCCTCCGCCCCCAAACGTTTTCGCCGTTCTGGTTTTGGGGTGTGACAGATTGGTATCAGAGCATTGTTTATAGTGAATTAAGTATATCAACCAATAAAAGATATACAACTATAAATATAATGGGACCGAAGTGCTCTGGATAATAATATATTTTAAGAATATAACAATAAGTTATAAAAATATACCTACTTGCTTATACATGTATACATATTAGAACAAGTATCACAAGAAGAACAGAACATAAGTATTTAAAGGTTGAATATTGCGGTCAAACCTAGGCAATTATCTAATCGTATTTAAGATCAATATAGCCTGATGTATTTTGATAAGTTTGATTTTTTTGAATACTACGGTAAAACCTGGGCATTATATATTTTGATAAGTTTGATTTTTTTGACTAGTTTTGACCACCTAAAGTGATTAATGACGGATTTTATCATTTTAACCTAGCTCACCTGCTACAACCTATTGCACTATTTATAGACGGGAGAGACCGTCAAGCAACCTGGTAGCTAGATGCTGACTAATCGCTCTTCTAAACTGATTTTTGCAATGCTAAAATTGATGTTATGTTTTCTAATTTTTTTTATTAAAAATCTAACTCAAAGAAAAAAATTACATATAAATGTCTACATCACAACCTTCTTTATCACGTATTTTAATATAATTTCTTTTGAAATAATAATACAACAATTATTACACTATTCAACATTAATACAAAACGTTAAAATAGCAACTCAAACTATAATTGACAACTTCATCACTTGAAATTTCATAATTTAATACTTAAAAGTACATGTTCTTTGGCACATCCAATTATTCATTACTTACTAAAACATGTCTTATGCAAGTACCCAAATATTTTCATTGAAATCTCATAATAAAGGTTTCCAATAATTGGTTGACATATATCATATATGCATGTATTTACAAAAAAAATAACGTAAAGGTGATAATACTTTGATATATGTTTTAATATTTTCTTTTAACACACGATACCATAACCATAGGTTTTATATACATCCACGTCCACGTGTATCTATTCATAACTATGCATGATGTATGCCTGGTTTAATATAATATTAATGATTGCTATTGGCATTAAGCAATGAATTAAATTAAGCTTTGGATGCTAATGTGGGAAATGACAAGATTTGTTATGGGCCAACCACCGGAAGGTGAGAATTGTTGGGCCCACAAATCAGAATCAAAGATCTAATATAAAGTCTTTTGCTTCCATTTACTTCCCATGACACTATTTTACCCATAAATCTGTGACAGAATTATTACATTCTATATTATAAACTATAGTTTTATAAAATAAATTAAAAACTATTATAAAATACACATAAAATTTCTGGTAACTTTAGAATGATGTTGGATTTTTACTTTTTGTTAACGGTGGTAAAGCATCTACCTACCAACCTACTTAAGAAAAGTTGTTCCCCATATTTCAAACTAGTTGTTATGTTGTGTTCCTTTTTTAGATTCTAAAGGTTTATTACTTTGACAAATTTCTATTCAACTTCAAGCTTTGCTTCTATATAATCAACCCACGTTAGGCTTTAGAGACAAACTCTAACCAACCCAAAATTTGCACTATTAAAAAGTTTGTTTTTTTAATTAATGAATTTAATAAACATTTATATATGATTGTATGTTGTTCGTATATATAATAACTTAATGAATTAAAGAAAATGAACTTGACTTGATGGGTTAAAGTAAAGACACTAACAATTTATCTTTTTTTAGTATAAAGACAAAATGGTTATTATTATTTATTTTTTTCTGATGATTTATATTTGATTGCGTTTAGTGCTCATAAACTAGCTTATTTTTTTGATCTGATTGCAAGTTAATATTTAATGAGAGTATAAAAATAGTTTACGATTAGTTTACAAATTAAATACTAGTTTTTTCAACTAACATGTCAAACACACACACACACACACACATATATATATATATATATATATATATATATATATATATATATTATATATATATATATATATATATATATATATATATATATATATAACACACCATATAACATCCATACTCATTCAATCATTTTACTTGTACATGATTTTGATTTGATAGAACTTAATGTGACCAACCATAGATGATTCTTTTTCATTTTATATGCACAAGATATTTAATG